TTAAACTTAAAGTGCTTAAACTTTAGCACAATGCTTAATATGAATATGAACAGGTCACACAACAAAGTCAATGATAAATAAGCTCACAGAAAAAGCACCCAGTTATAGAAGTGCAAACATGTCCGTCTAATTGCAAAGAAGAGTTCACGAAATCTTCAGAACGACCCATACAGGTGCTTTATTTTATACACCTGTGCCTGAAGGCACCAGCATACAAAGATTAACATACTGGCTACCTTTGTCCTTACAGTGTTGCTGCACAAGCTGATGAGTGACCTCTCTTTAGTGCCAGAGAAACAGGAGTACTTCCAAAAGTTTGATCTGCATGAGCTCATCCACTGCAAAGTCAGGGTCCTCCCCAGTGCTGCTGGTTACATGATTGCTGGAGGCTACTGTTGACTGATGACTAACTTGAGCTTTAGCTGTGGTCGGTGGTGTGATCGGTTTAATTTTTTTTCCCTTTACCAAACAGACTTAATTCTACATCTCGCAAAAGCGTACAAGACTCAGCTGAGGGGTAAAGTAGAACTTTTTTGAAGTAAACATATACATTTTTGTAACTAATTGGAAAGTAGCATAGTGAAAAGGAAACAGCATAAAGTAACCACGGAATCTGACCTGACACTTGCGGCCCCACAGATAGTACAGTGCGGCTGTGAGGGAGCAGATGATCACCGTGAACGGCGTGAAAACGCACTCCCAGTATGTCCCCCATACCTCCGCATGAGTCAGAAACATGACAGGACAGAATGAAGTGCACTAATGTTTAATGCCTTCATCGCCAGCATTCAGCGTTGAGCTCTAGAGCGCGCAGGCGTTCTTCTTTTATTTTTGGTGAACAATAAATTATTGCATTACCGCCACCAGCTGGTGTGGAGCTTGGACCGAGACATTTTACTGTTTCATGAAAAAATATGGCTCATTTTTTATTTAATAGACGTTTCAAAAAAGAAAATGAGAAGGCGAAACTAAAAAGAAACAGCTGGAGAAACACTTTACAGCTAATTAGGTTAATTAGCAACAGGTCAATAACATGATTTGGTATAAAATGAACATCTTAGAGAGGCAGAGCTTCTCAGAATTAACCGTGGTCCGAGGTTCACCAATCTGCAAAAAACTGTTTCAGAATTATCATCAATATAAAACTGTAAATATTTAGAACATCTCACGGTCTACAGTACATGATATCATTAAGAGAATCTGGAGAAATCTTTGTATGCAAAGGATAATTCTGATGTCTATTGGATGTCTATGATCTTCAGGCCCTCAGACAGCACCACATTAAAAGGCAGGCATGATTCCGTCATGGAGATCACTGCATGCACTCAGGAAACTTCCAGAAATGATTATCTGTGTTCACCATGTCATCCACAAATGGAGATTAAAGCTTGTACCATGTAACCATGTAAAGAAGAAGCCAGACGTGAACATTATGGGATGCTGCCATCTACTATGAACACAGTTCTTTTAAATTGGACTGAAGCAAAGTAAAAAACTGCTGTGTGGTTAAATGTCTGGTGGCATGAAGACTCCAGCGACACTTGAAGCACTATGGAAAAACTTTATTAGCTGACCAAAGCGTTTCAGCTTGTGGCCTTCATCGGGGTCATTGCAAAATAAACGTTTGAGTTTAGATAAAGGAAGAAATCTTGGTAAAATTACTTCAAATATTTGAAAAAATATAGATGCTGGACTACAGAGGGGAGGGACCATCCAACTTGCTGGCTTTACTCAATGCTTAAATCCTGCTTCTCTGTTGGTAAGAAAGTGAATTAGGGCCGATGGAACTGGCAGCTTGCACATATAGACAGGGTCAATCAGTGTTGACACGTATGTACAGATTTTAAAGCAACACACGTTCCATCCAGATAACATCTTTTTTCAGAGAAGGCCTTGTATGTTTCAGCAATACAATTTTAAACTACATTCTGCAGCTATTATAACAGCCTGGGTTTGTAGCAGACAAGTTTTGGTGGTGAGGTTAACCGCCTGCAGTCCAGATCTTTCACCAGCTGAAAACATTTGGTGCATCAAAGAAGACTGAGGATTTTTTGTTCCGCTAGAATCCTTCATCAACATTCCAGAGGTGGTCTCCTCAATTCCCAGATATTCTTCTTTTATATCTTTTATATCTTTTATTAAAAGAAAAGGGTATGCTATAGTGGTAAACATGACGGTGCCCCAACTCGTTTACTGTCATCAAATTCAAATGACCTTGTTTTCTCTTAAAAGGATATTTTAAGTGTTTTTTCTTGTGCATAGTCATAAACACTGCTCCTTACTTTGAGATGAAACTTCAGAATACTAAATGCTACTGCAATTCTATTCTTTTATACCTCTGCACACATCAGTATGTGAATTATAAAGATAAGTGAAACCTACGGTGTTGTCATAAAGTATCCAAGGTTGTATTGCTGGCAGTAGTACAGCTGGACTAAAGTTTAACTGAATAATTTAAGTAGTTGTTGCGTTCTGTGTCACTAGCCGCCCACAGCTTTTTATTTCTCTCCGCTCCCTCTGCCAACAAGTGCCTTATGTTGTGTAATCCTAACTTTACCCCTGTAGACATACCCAGGGTTAGCTCCATCTTATTGTATCCTTTTTTTTT